CTTTAGAATCTATCTCAGAAGAATTAAGAAGTAACTATGGAGAAGATCCTACAAAACTATAAGGAGTTGATAAAACTTATGCCACAATTGAATTGATAGACCCAAAAACTATCATTAGAGTCAAACTAATGAGGTATGGCCCTGAAGATAAAGAAGAATTTGATAAGCAAATTCAAGAGTTAATGGCCTAGAAAATTATACAGACCTCTAAGAGTCCGCATAGTAGTCCTGCCTTTATGGTAAGAAATCATAATGAATTAAAAAGAGGAAAAGCTAGAATGGTTGTCAACTATGAACAACTTAATAGCAAAATTAAATTCGGCAGTTACTTTTTACCACGTAAAGAAACTCTAATCAATAGCATTAGAAGAAAGAAAATGTATTCAAAGTTTGATTGCAAATCAAGATTTCAGCAAATTAAGCTAACTTCTGACAGTATCCCACTAACAGCCTTTAATGTCCCTACAGGATACTATGAGTGGTTAGTTATGCCTTTTGGATTAAAAAATACACCTCAAATATTTCAAAGAAGGATGGATAATGTATTTTCTTCCATCAAGAAATTTTGCATAGTTTATGTAGATGACATACTAATCTTCTTTGATAATGAGAAAGAACATTTATGTCATCTCAAAAAATTTGCATATTTATGCAAGAAACATGGAATATTACTTTCTGAAAAGAAAGCAAAAATAGGAAAAACCAAAATTGAATTCCTTAGATTAACAATAGATTCCACGGGAATAGAATTACAACCTCACATTAGCGAAAATATTTCGATGTTCCCAGATAAATTAGAATCTAAAGAACAAATTCAAAGGTTTCTAGGAATATTCAACTATGCAGAGTAGTTTATTCAAAACCTAGTTCAATTAAGACATCATTTGCAAAAGTTGCTAAGGAAAAAGGAAAATCAACAATGGGAAATTTATCACACTAATCATGTGAAAAGAATGAAAGAATATTGCAAACACCTTCTTAGGCTACAATTGCGTAAAGAAGATGAAGAGTTAATTTTAGAATGTGATGCCTCAGATTTTTATTGGGGAGTAGCTTTAAAAAATTCTCAAGAAAAAGTTTGTAGATATACTAATGGTACATTTAAAGATGTAGAAACTAGATATCATTCAAATCATAAAGAGTTATTGGCTATTAAAAATGAAATAAAAAAGTTCAGTTTCTTTTTATTACCAAAACATTTTAAGGTCAGAACTGATAATACTCAAGTTAGGGGATTTATTTTTAATAAATTACCTTTAACACCAAAATATAAAAGATTAAATAGATGGCAAACTTTCTTTGCCGAATATGATTTTGAAATTGAACATGTCAAAGGAACTAATAATTGTCTTGTAGATTTCTTAAATAGAGAAGGAGCTAATGGATGCAATCCTAAAACTCCAAAATAAAGGGAAAGACCTTATTCTCAAAGGTCAAGAGATACTCATTGAGGGCAATAGCCAAATAAGAGAAGGCCAAGAAATAATGGATGAAGGCCATAACCTTATGGATGAAGGCCATAACCTTATGGATGAAGGCCAAGAAAAGATTATTAAAGGCCATGAGTTATTAAATAAGGGGCAAGATGCCCTTGAAGAGGTCAAAGAGCTAATAGAAAAATTAATGAGTTCCAAAGTAATTACTATTGTCAGAATTAGCTCTACAGAATCTAGCCATATGGCAAAGAAAAGCTCTCAACAAGAGCTAAAAGAAAATTTTGAACAAGGTGATCCTTTAGTAGCACTACTTGGAGAAAGTTCAAGGAAGTTTGATTATTATGTCAAATACTCTCCCTCAGAAATATAGCGTCTCAAGCTGAAAAGTTGGCTATTCAAAATGCTGAAAGCCATAACTTTCGACCTGATTACTCAGGAAAGAAAGAAAAGAGAGCTGCAATAATAGACACCTTGTCAAAAATGACAATGAGTGAAGAATATCTGCAGGAATACCGCAGAGTTTGTAGAATGGCATATTCAATGAGGTCCATTGAGAATTGCCATCCTATCCATGAAGGGATTTATCTCAGAATTAATTTCATGCAGGGTGCAAACCCAAAAGCAATAAAAGAGTTATTTCATTACGGTTTTGTAAACTGTATTTATCTCTCAAAGGATAATGAAGAAGTTTCAGAACTTCTAGAAGTTATACGCCAAGGAGTAAAAGACTTTAAAATTGGCATCAAAGCTCAAGGGGTAGTATTTGTCAAAATTTACTCTACATCACCAGAATGGGAGAAATCTCAATATCTCCCCAGTCATCATATAGTTCAAATTGGAATCCAGTCCAAGAAGATCAAGGTAAAAGCGAATGAAGATCAAATTTTTCAAGACTTTAAAGAGTCTCTTTGTGGGATTAAGTTCATCCAAGAGAGACGAGCTTTAGGATTCAAGGTTTTACTCCAAACCTTTAATAGAATGATAGAAATGAAGAAGACATGGACATATGGCTTCTCCAAGGAAATCTTGGTGGTATCCACTAGAGCAAAATTAATGACAAGCATCAGCCTGTTCAAAATAAAGCAGAAAAGAAAGGAAATCTTTGAAAATCTAGTCCCAACCAGTAAAGCAGTCCATAATAGACTATGCAAGCTATTAAAGCATGACGGTCATTGTGGTTCCTGCTACAAAAAAGAATCTGCAAAAGGAAAAGTTGACGCCCCATGTGACGAAAGGACCACCCCTTCAGACAATGAAGAGGATCTCATCATCCTCTGAAGAATCCAATGCAAAAAGATGTAAGCGCTTACATCACTAAAGAAAAAGAAGAGCATCTACAAAATTCCATGTAATCTACTTTAGCAAAAGCAAGACCTAAGTCTAGATCACCAAACAATAATGTAAACTTTAATCGTCAGCAATGATGAAAGAAAAGATTCTAAGGAGCGCTATGAAAAGACTCCTATAAGCTGTAACAGGTATCAGGCATTTGAATATCCAAATACCTTACTTGAAAGCCTTCTACCATGCATTTGTAAACACCCTTCAAGAGGAAAGGGAACTTTCCCTTTCTTTTCTCAGAAATAAAATTATGTTTTAGAATAATTCTTGTGTTTCTATCCTTCTTTATTTCTATCATAAAATAAAATGAGAAGAATCCTAGAGAAACTGAGGCAGCAGTGAAGTCACTTGTCATGTTCGAATACCCATTTTAACTTGAGTTTGGCATTAAGGGTTGGACAAAGGAAGCATTTGCTTGACTGAAGGCTAGTCCAAAGGATTTTCAGGTAAAATTCTAACTCATTTATTTTATCATGCGGAAGCAAGGTAGGCATAAAAACAACTTTATTATTCTTTAACATTAGATTATTTTTAAGATGAGAAATGATGGGCAAATAGTACCTGACCTTTTATATTTTGAATAGAAAAATCCATTTTATATTAAACCATTATAATTTAAGATGCTTGATTTTATTCAAGAAATTGTTGTAGATAAGATAGTTTATGAGCAACAATGCGAATATTATAGAAATAAAATAGTAAAAATTTTAGAAAAAATAAGTAATATTGAAGATGAATATCATCTATCTAAGAATCTCAAAAAGTTGAAGCAAACAGTTGCAGATTTAAATGAAGATCTAAAAAGATTAAAAAAGGCCAAGTAAAGATTATCTTTGCTAGCAATCTAGTATATCTAATTCCACACTAACTAAGCTTAACATACCAACTATTCATTAGTCAGTAGTAGTCTGAGTTAAGTCCTGAAAACTTGTAGAAAAATTTGGTATTAGAGCCAAGAAACAATAATTTTAAGTCTTGAAATATAAATTTGAGGACTAAAAAATCAAAAAAATATAGTTAGAGGACTAACTATTCTCTAGTAGAATATGAAGTTTTCCGTCAAAGATAACAAACTAGACAAAATTGAAATGAATCTGAAAGATAATAGACAGGATTGGAAGAATCCAAAGATAATAAATAAAACTGAAAAAAATATGAAAATTAGTAAATGATTTATTAAATTAACTCAACTTATTAAAGTAAAATGTTAAAAATGTCATAATATAAGATCGACGATTAAAACCTATAAAGTTATTAAGATAAAGTGGCAAAGTAAGTTTTAGTGGTAGTAATTTGATCCGGGCTATGACGTCAATCTCCACTTAGCCACCACTCATAACCAAAGAAGTAAATATTGTACCGTACCAACCGGTATGACCGGTATGTACCAATTTTTAGAGTAGACCGAAATGGAGTAAGAATGAATTTTGTTTCGAACAAAATTCGATGATTTCGGTCAAATTTCGGTGTACCGACCAAAATTTCGACATACCGACCGGTACACCGAAATTTAACCTGTACAATATGCAAGAATTTAAAAAAAAAAAAAAAAAGATTTCCTAGCCAAAACGACATCATTTTGGCCAACCCTACAATTTCGATCGTGCCAATCTTCCTCTGTTCTCGCGTCCAGCTGTCTTAACTTGTCAATCTTCCATTTTTTGGTACAATTGCCCGCTACAATTCAAATCAATTCAAATTTAAAAAGGGCAAATTTCATTTTTAGTCCTTAATTTTAATATTTTATATAATTTTCATCATTTAGTTTTTTTATATACTTTTTTAGTCTATTCTTCATATTTTTTTTAGTCCTTCTATTAATTACTTCATTAAGTTTTTCTAAATACACACATTTTTAATCCCTTAATTTAAAATGGATGGACAAAAAATATGTATATATTAAAAGTTAAGGGATTAAAAACTATCATTTTAAACTTATTTTTAATTTATAAGAATATAATAGTTTTAAATATTAGTATCTCTTATTT